CAATTAATCTGTTTACTTTTTTGTGAAGCAAAGCTAGCAAACACATAGGAAATATATTATGTTCCATAACATAAATTCTGTTCTGATTTGAAAAGTACAAAGCTCAGTATCTCAAATATACTGATGTCGGAAACTTCCAGAGCTATATCCAATAGGGTTTTTTTTAATAATCTCTTTCACTCTGACAGAATAAGAGTAGGAGACTGACAGGTGAAATGTAATTCTCCTTCCACCAAAGAAAACACAGATTTGTATTTGGGGAAAGAGCAAACATCTCAGAACATTTTAGTTGTCTTCTTATCTTGTATACTCTGGCCTACCTATAGGCATAAAATTACATGTGTGTGATTGAAATATCCAAATGTAACTCCCAAAGCCATGTTTTTGGAAATAAACATTGTAAAATGAAATCTATCCTAGGAATATGAGAGTTAAACATTTTGCTTTTCTCACTTCAACTTTTTTTTCCCTATGAAGTACTTAGAATATTTAAAATATCTTTTGCATTACTTATGAATGTCTCCCCTTATTTAAGGTCTACATCTGTGGTAGCCATTCATGTTACTCTATTTTCAACAGTATTTGAAATTAAGATCATGTACGTATTTTGGTAACAGGTTAAGTTTACTTTGCCTTTAATTTTTCCTCAGTTCCTTTCTGTTATGTTGTTGATGAAATATTATTGGTCCCTCAGCCTACCCCTGCAGTTTTTAACTAGGAGATTCTGAGGCAGCACTAAAAGGTTATTAACAATATGACTGTACATTTCACAAAAGAAAAAAAATGAGTGAAGAATCCTGAATGCCAATAACGTTCGTGTTTATTAACTCCAAAGTTGCCAGTGGCATTAGGCTCTGGATATGTATGTGTGCAAGAGCGGGAGAAAAAATGGTAATGCTTATAGTTTTGTGTCTCCCACTATTAGATTAAAAAATTTAATATTAAACTGGCTATGCTGTATTCCCTGGCAGTGTGTAACCACCATCTCTCTCTTTTTTTTCCTGTCTGCTAGTTTATTTTGATTGCTGCCATTTTAGCTTTAAAAATAAGTGTCTGAACTGGTGATCTTGTTCAAAATGAATCTTCATCTATGGTTTATTAACTATACATCTTTATGGCCAGCGGCTTGATTAAATTTTACACCAATGACCTTAGAACTAATTTAGCACTCTGATGCTTATATTTAATCTGCTATGAGATAAGGGAAGAAGAATGGAGTGGTAACATCTTAGATTTTCAGCATGATACAATAAAATGGGGCAGCTTTGTTTACACAGTGAAAATTAAACCAAGACAACTTCCATGTCCCCAAAATATCTGATAAATTTAATAATTAATAACTGGGGCCAAGAGTTATCATACTATGTCATGTCTGAAAAGCAGATGATTTTCAATTGAAGTGTGGCATTTGCTTTCCTCTGGTTGCTCCTAGATATCACTGCACTGATTTGCAAGGATTATCTCTTCTGCTCTAATTAACTGAAGTTAATTAATAGGAGACATCTTGACAAAGGAATCCTGGATTATTTTAGTCAAATATATAATTAGATTTGAGAGGCATATGTAGAGAATAAGTTTCATTTTCTCTTCTGCTCATTTGCTAGCTCTATCACTGCCTGCCTTAACATGGTAGAAGGGCTTTCTTAATAAGAACAGAAGAAGCTATTGAAAAGAAAGGAATTGATATGAGATGGAAATGAATATAGGCCTACTTGTCACATAGCCTGGATCCAGTGGATCAGAAGTCCCCAACCTTTTGGGCACCAGGGACCAGCTCTGTGGAAAAAGGTTTTTCCACAGACCGGAGAATGCGTGGTTTTGTGTGCTGCCTGCATCCCACAGATGGGCCTTTGCTTGTTTGTGCCGATCCGGTTGCTGGCATGCCATGGGGGGGGGGGGGTTGGGGACCCCTGCATTGGATGATTGACTGTTTCTTGGGTCTGCCTAGTGTATTTAACCCTTTCTAATACATCTAAACAGAGCTTATCTGTGTTTGCTTTTTTTTCTTTATGTCATTACTTTCCAATGGCAAAGGATTCTAGTAGATAGATAGATAGATAGATAGATAGATAGATAGATAGATAGATAGATAGATAGATAGATAGATAGATAGATAGATAGATAGATAGATAGATAGATAGATAGATAGATAGATAGATAGATATTCTGCTAGAAAGAGGGCAAGTATGTGTACTTTTATTGGATGGCTTTTATATGTGAGAGAATTGTGCATCAGGAAGAAAACCCTTCTTAATTCAGTTGTAGGTGGTTTTATCCTTTTATATGTTTATTTATTGGTGTGAAGTGCAGACATTTATTTTGGGATTGGGATCTCTTGGGATCTCAAGAATTAGATTCAGCTGATGTTAAAAATATTAAGCTGACAGAATCGAGTAGTTGGGCAATACACAAGAATTCTCTCTCACACACACGCATACACACACATACACTAGCTAGCTACATCTACATGTATTTTCCTTTTTTGTTGAGGTGATCATTCAGAGTCAGCCTTGTTTTGGAAAAATATGGTAATTGTCAACTGGATGCATTATTAATGAGACTAGAAAATACATTTATGGAGATGTTTTCTTGACAGGTGAAGATTCATCTCTCTAACATCTAGGTTTATTCATCTGTCTTTGTTCTAGGTATGACACCATCACCAATCAGTGGGAGACAGTTGCTCCTTTGCCAAAGGCAGTGCATTCTGCAGCTGCAACTGTTTGTGGTGGAAAGATCTATGTATTTGGAGGCGTGAATGAAGCTGGCCGAGCTGCTGGAGTCCTGCAGTCATATATTCCACAGACTAATGCATGGAGTTTTATAGAGTCACCAATGATAGGTAAAAGTAACATGCTTCCAGCTTTAACTTGAAGATGGGGAAAGAGAAATGCGTATGCTGTTGATTTATTGACAATGAATTCAAATTTTAATGTGTTTATAGAAAATAATTAGAAAAGTCTAATTTTCTAAGATTATGAATTTTCTCATTAGTTAGGCTACTGGAGTTAGCACCCTGAAAGCCCACCCCCACCCTGCTTTCAATTAATATTAAGAGAGGGAAAGGGATGAAAGAGAGAGAGAGAGAGAGAGAGAGAGAAAGAAAGAAAGAGGAGAGAGAGAGAGAGAGAAAAAGAGAAAGAGAGAAAGGACATGGTTGCAAAGTAAGTCAAGAGAAAATATGCCATATATTGTTATAGTATTATGGTTATTTTTTAAAATTGGAGTGTTTTAGTGAAAAAGCAGAACAAAGAGACAATGGGTGCCATTAGCCTATGATTCCTACAACAGAAATATTGATGGGCTAGTTTAGATGGAATTTTACCACACTGTCCTCACTTTTCAGTAATCCAAACGGGAGCTCACATGCTCTTATCATTCATCATAAATGCAAGATAGTTCAGAAATAGAGGGGTCCTTATTTGAGCACACATGTTTTCATACTTTGGTTTGTTAGAAGATTTCCATACGCTACAATTGTGGTTTTTCTATGCTTGACGGTTTCCATGTGAACATGTTACGTTCTGCTTCTCCACCCCCAAATCAGAGGTATTCTTTCTTATCGTGAACAAGTGTCCTCTGACTTCTAGACTACAATAAACATATTGTTAACTTTCCCTTGCCCATTGTAGAAGAAGCAATTCAGGACTTGTTTGTAGCATTGATTTACGGGTGTAACATTGCCTCTGTTCCTTCGCTGTTGTTAATGCTCAGCTAAACATGACATGACATGCACATGATGTACCATGAAATACTCAGCAGGAAGACATTAACCAGTGGTAATCAAGTTGGTGCATTAGAGCAGGGCAAGCAACCTCATTCCCCAACTCTTTCTATTCCTAGAATCTGCTGAATGATATTATGAAGTTTTCTTGTCCTCTTAACAAAATGGCAAAAGTTAATACATTATGCAAAGAAAACCCCACTTCTGCTCTCTAAAACATTTGCAAAAGTATTTAATATCCTCAAACTATTACAGTGCCAACCATTGCAGTCTAGAATAAAAAAACCACCAATATTCTGCACATTTGTAAATAGGGCCCTAAGAAAAGTTTCAAAACTGCAAGTTATGAAACGACACGTATGCTTCCTCAGATAAAAGTAGCTAATTGACAATGTCTGCCTAATCATCAAGGAGTATTAATTGAAGCTGTTGTTATTTTGATTAGGTCCAAAAATAGAATGTTTGAGTGACAAGACAGTTTTTAAAGAAATGAAATACATAGATTTCATTATGATGTTAAAAAAATAGAGCAGATATTTCTACAGATAAAATGGATTCCCTTACTCCACATTTGGTACCATTTTCAGTTGAATCTAAAACCATGACAATATTTGAGGGAGATAAATTTTTAATAAATAAAAGGAAAATCTTTTGAAAGGTGAGGTTCAGTCACAAATTTTCCATAGTGCTTTCAAGTGTGCTTTAGAGAATACCCATCTGCCTTGCTGCCTCTGTGCTAAAGTCATCATGCATGAAAAATATTTTATATTCTTTTGTCATTTAAAATACATGGGTGGGATTATTATTATTATTATTATTATTATTATTATTATTATTATTATTATTATCATCCTCAAGAGTTTACATTTTTGCCTTTCGCTTTAGCGATGCCTATTCTGCAGCCGAAACCAGATATTAAAGTATTCCGAGTTGTCTGCTCTGTTTTGGTTCTGAGATTTCTTCTGGATCATTGTTCTGATGTGGTATGGAGTCAGCTCAAGTTGACTTCACTAAATGGCAATCTAGTAATAACGACAACTGGAGTGCTCTTTCTTACTTTATTTTTAGAAGCCTTTTGACAATATAGCCAGTCATTGTTGCTAAAACACAAGAGAGAACTTCATTATTCAGAATAGTGCTTATGTCCTGTTAAGCTTTAGATTTTTATGTGGGGGACAAGAGGGAACCAATGTTTAAATCTTAACTCAATAACAGTCCATAGAATATCAAGAGCAGGGGTGTCAAACTGCCGGCCCACGAGCCGGACGCATCACACGGAAGCTGCGCCCACCCCATTGCCAGCAATACTGTAATATTGCTGTCCCAATACGTTGCGCAACATCACGTGACGTCGTGAGTTTGACATGTCTGATCAAGAGGAATCCTTTTTTTCTGCCAATTGTTCTTTGTAAGAGCTGATGAAGTCTTTAAGACTATTTAAAAAAATAGCAGGTTTACAGAATCACAATTAAGATAATTATTAATTAATATTTGGAAAGGCTAAAATATTTCCAGATGCAAAGTTAAAGTGCATCTTTCTGGTTGTTACTCATGGTAGCATAATAATGTTGAGTAATTTTTGGACCAACCTAGACTGATTGCACAGGATAGCAAAAACACTTATAACTTGAAGGTTGAACCAAGTTTTTTTATTAGACAGGTAGTTCTTGTTTAGCAACTATCTCATTTAGTAACTGTTCACAGTTACAACAATGATGAATAAATGATTTTATGACCAATACTTGTATTTATAACCTTTGTAGGTCTGTAAAGCAAAGGAAAGCTAAAGCAAGATTATAAGCACAGTTGCATTTCACTTAGCAACCTACTTCATTTAACAATCAAGTTGCTGATCCTAACTGTGGTCGCTAAATACTAAACTGGTCTCTATCATACAGGCCAGAAAATGAATCAGTAGCAAGTCTCTGTTGTGGCTCAGTTGTTGCTTGAAGCAAATGTGTACTTAATTCTCTTTAGCAGTCCAATGAATAATCAGTCTCCTGTGGAATAGATTCTCTCATGAAGTGATATGTTCCCCATGAGAGCTCCTTAAACAAAACTAGAAATGCTTTAGCAATCTTGCACCAAGTAGGATTGAACCTGATGACCTCTGAGCATGGATGCACATGTAAGAACTAATAGTGTAAAGCAGTGGTTCTCAAACTTTTCTTCACCATGGAACCCCTTTAAATATCTTTTGTGGCCACAGACTTCAAAAATTTAAATTATAACATTTCTTCAAACCTTTGCGGACCCGCTGTGATGACATCAAGGCCCCCCAGGGGTCTGCATATCACAGGTTGAGAACCACTGGTATAAGATATTAGCATGATGAAGGTCTTAACCTATTTCGGCAGAAACATTAGCCATATTAAGTAGTCATTTTTATTTCAAAATATTTTATCTGTCTTTTACATATATTTATAATTTATACATATAAAACAAATATATCACTGTAAGACAAAATGCAGTTAATTGAAATTGCAAAATGCAAACATTAGTAAAATAAGTTGCTAAATCTGCAAACTTTATCAGTAGTTGCTAGCACGAATATCCAATAGCGCAGATAAAGCATAGGATTGAAATAGACCTGACTACTAAACTGTCCCATTTAACAGAATATATTCTCTCACGGACAACTTTCCCTGACCTGGTAACTTCTAAGTGTCTTGTCTTAACTTAGAAACATTGGCCATGCTTACTTGAATCACTCTAAAATGTTAATTTCCATAATGACAGCTGAGTTAACCTCAGGGGGAGAGCCTTCTCTGTCGGAGCGCCCACCCTCTGGAACGGGCTGCCCCCAGAGATCCGGGTGATTCCGGATCTCCCCTCCTTCCGCCGCGCCCTCAAGACTTGGCTGTTTCAGCAGGCAGGACTGGCCTAGGGGTATTTTAATTGGTTTTAACAAAATTTTAAAAGAGCGGCCAATTCAAATATTTATTTTTAATTATTTTAGATTTGTATTTGGTATTTATGTGGGATTGTTTTAAACTGGCTGTAAGCCGCCCTGAGTCCTCCGGGAGAAGGGCGGGGTATAAATGAAATAAATAAATAAACCACCCATTTAGGGGGGAAAATAATGGATTGCCAACATTTGTAAATAAAGTTTACATCTCTAATGTTATAACATTTGGTATTAGTCTTTATAATAAATCCAAACTCTACTCAGATATTTCTGGCATGACAAATTTGAACCTGAACATCAAAAGGCTTCACTCTCCAGATGAAATACAGGTAATTGGGGCATAATTAAAGTTTGATTTTAAAAAAAGGCATCCCTAATAAATAATGAAGGAAAAAGGGATGTAGGAAAGTGGTTTTAATATTTACTATTGTGGATATAATTCCCCTAATTATTTAATCACTGGGCATGCAAGCTATAAATGTGCCAATTACCCATACCCCAGTCCAACATGCAAAAAAAGGCCAAGCAACATTCATTGTTGTACTTAGATATTAAATAACGCTTAGACAGTCTCTGAAGCAGACACTCGTAAGATGGAGTAAAAATCTATAAAATGGCTGGTTGGATCAAAAGCCATTCCACCGAGAGTCTGCTAAAGAAAGAGACAGATTTGGCTCTCCTGAGAATTTCCAAATTGCACATTTATTAAAGCGAAGATGTTTTGACAGTTGTGATCTTGCATATTTAGAAGGCCCTGTTTAGAGAAGGTAAGGAAAAAGTCACAAAAACTTTGATGCACACTTTTTTTAACATCTCAAACCTGATGTGGAAAAAAGACAAAATAAAGCCTAAGAATGGAGGAGAAGGGGGCAAACAGAAATTGAGATTAATCAGAATTCACAGTTATCCGTTCCCACTGCAGTATCGTGTACATATTACAAGCCTGTTGTGTGGTGCTTTTCGTCATTATATCGTACCTGAGGAACATGATCAGATAGATGGCATTTTCTATGGTAATTCTGGCCGCTTTGAGGCTTCTGGTGGATGGAGGCTTTGGAATTTTACTCCTGCCTTGAAAAGGGCAGAAAAGGAACAAGTCCAATATGGTTGCATACATGTGGCCTTTTTTACTCGCATGGTGGAGATTGTTGCAGGTGAAAATGTATAAGTGCCTTGTAAATAGTAATGTAGTCTTCCAGAGGGAAACTGA